GATAAAATATAACTTAATTAAAAACAAGATGTTAGCTGGGCACAACAGCTCATACCTGTAATCCCAGCCGTTTGTGAGGCAGAGGCAGGTGGATTACTTGAGCCCAGGAGTTTGAGACCAGCCTGGCCAACATGGTGAAACCCTGTCTCTAGGAAAAATATGTAGTGGCACGTGCCTGTAATCACAGCTACTCAGGAGGCTGAGATACAAGAATTGGTTGAACTGAGGAGGTGGAGGTTGCAGTGAGCCAAGATCACACCACTGTGCTCCAGCCTGCTGGGCAACTGGGCAGCTGTCTCTCTCTCTCTCTCTCTCTCTCTCTCTCTCTCTCTCTCTCACACACACACACACACACACACACACACACACACACACACACACACACACAGTATGTCAGGTCCACAAATGCTGCCTCAGCTACTAACACTCATAAACCCTCACCCTCCCACAAGACTGCTGTCCTAGACCCATCCGGTGTTGGAATCGGACCAGAACTGAAGCTGCTTCTGTAGCAGCAATCTCGGGAAAGATTCTGATTGGTTCACCTCACGTCACTTGCAATTACTGTTTTATTGAAAGTATTTGTTAGGTGACCTGTCTTGCCTTGACTTTAAGCCCAAGGGGCAGAAACTGACCTGGGTCTTCTGTGCACCTGCCAACAGCAAGGAGGGCATGGGCCTGAGACTGATAGAACTTACAAACCCAGCTATTCCCCTAGACATGAGTCGCCCAGGGGAGTGCCTGAAAAATGCTGATGCCCAGGCTCTACCCCCTAGAGATTCAGATTAGCTGGCTTGGAGTAGGGCCTGGGTACCTCTGATCTTTTTAAGTCTCCCACAGTGGTCTCCCAAAAGAGTAAATCCCTCCCCATCTCGAGGCTTTGGGTAGGGCCCCCAGGTGCTTCACAGGCTCCCCCAAAGCTCCTTGCTCCCGTTTCTCCAGCTTCACCTCTTCCTGCTACAGCTGCACTTCTCAGGCAAAGCACAACTTGTTCCTGGCACACATGGTGTTCCTTCTGCCTGGAATTCTTACCCTGCCACCCCGTCCCTTGCCCATCATCTTCCCTTGGCACAGTCCTGCACCAGGAAAGCTTCTCTCCCCTCCCTGCACCCCAGGCTGAGCTGGAGGCCCCTGGCGCCTGTGTTCTGTGTCTCCCCTGTCAGAGTCAGTGTTATGCTTTATTGAAAGTGATTGTTAAGGAATCTGTCTCGCCTTGACTTTAAAGCCTGGTGCGGACTTGCTCACCACCGTTGGAATGAATGGCACACACAGCACGCCGAGCATGGAGTTCAGTGTGTTCGGCTTGGCATTTATTAGCCATTTATTGGGTGAGCACTTAAGCTGTCCCAGCCTCAGTTTCTTCATCTGCAAAATGAAGATGATAATAGAACCTTCCTTAGCTGAAAGTGTCTAGACATGTAAAGTGCTTAGCTGGCACCTGACGCAATGTAAAAACATGTCCAAATACTCGCCATCATTTTGAAAGACACCACCTTTTTTGGCAAAGGTCATTAACTCACCTTTCCTTTACCACTTATTTTTCTCTATTATCCGTTTCTACCAGCAAGTCAGAAGTAGGGACTGTCTTATTTCTTTCTTTCTTTTTTTTTTTTTTTGGTCAGACTGGTCTCCTGATCTACCCACTTCG